GGAGGGAAAATTGCTGGTTGGGCAGTTTTTGAGGGTCGGTGGCAGGTCATTCCAGGGCTTGACGACCCTGAAGGAAAAAGCGCGCTGGCCGAACACACTTCGGACCGGGGGTGGCTGGAGGCGGGGATGCTGACTATTGTCGCCTCGCAGCACTCGGCCCTCGATGATTCGGGCGCGCGAATCATTAATTATAATATTTATAATTATCAATTAGATAGACCGAGGGAAGGTTTTTTTTATATTTATTATATTTCATATAATATTGCTCAACATTGAAATGATATGATTAGATGAATATACAACATAATGATAATTTTGTAAAAATTAAAATTAATTTGAAATAAGTTAATAATTTTTGAAAAATTATTACTATGTTATTTATATAGGAAAATGTGTAGCTTTAAGTTTTTAAATAAAAAATTAAGATTTATTTTTAACATTAAAAATAAGTCTATAGTAATAAATTATCAAATATTTTCCATTATTAATTTAATAACTTACGTGGACCCAATATTATAAAGATGAGATTTTTTTTAATCTCGTTAACAAGCATATTGCATTACGTAAACATCTTTCACTGAATAAAATAACCAAGTAAGAAATAGTAAAAAACTTCAATTCATAATTTAAAACAAATTATAAAAATTCATCAGCAATAAAAAAAATTGCTATGAAATTAACTTTTTTGATTCAAAACACCGCAACATTAACAAATAATCCAATCTTGCAATTCAAAGAGAAACGAAATGTTAAATTAAATGATCTTTTTCAAGGAAAAAATTTGTGAATTTGAAGATTAACAATTAGTACTCACAACATAGAGGAAGCCGTTGAAAATTTCTGCACAGCAAGGCGCCTGCCTCTCAACAGGTACAACGAGCCATAATAAAAGCCTCACGCACGAAATGCACCGGTCGAGCTAGTGAAATGTTTTTGGTGCGACTTGGGCCGACTTTAGCGCGACCAGTGACCTGCGACGCGTCTCACATGATACATAATACGCTGTGTGCCGATACTGGTTTTCGCATCAGCTGCTGAACATGTTTCTTTATTTGGCAAGTGTCTCCGGAGCCCGTCGGACCACCTCCGGAGACGCAGCTTCGAAATGTGCGAGATGCACCGCTGGACCGACTGGCCATCGCGTTCGTTGACTCATTAACAAAAAAACAAGAGAGAAGACGCGCATTCCAAGCTTTGAGATGGAACTCTCTGCGCGACGGCCGTTTTCTTACATCATTGTGCTGTAAGGCGGGATTTTTAATAATTCATGCACTCGACCTGGAGCGAGCGCGGCTAGTGTGTCGATATTGGGCGTTGCACCAAAGCACCGAGTACATAGTGAAAGAGACGCTTTCAAGTTTCAGCTTTACGAGTATTTAATTTTGTGCTTGCTTCCTTGCGCACACACTGAGTAAGTCGTGGAGCCTAGAAACCTGTCTGTGGGACTCGTAGAAAGTATTTATTTTATTTTATTTATTTTAAGTAAATAATGATCCACTTCAATTCAGCTGAATTTTCATTATAAAACAATTAAATTTGTTGAAAAAGACTGAAGTTAGAATTTACTATTTATTCACATTAAAAAAGAATTAAGTATAATTTGTTGACGACTTAATTCTTGACAAAGAAAAGAAGGGTTAGCGTTTTTTCTATTCATACCCCAAAATTAAATTAGGCAACAGATGCTTTGCAGATAGTTTGATTTGAAAGTCATTCGCTAATTTTTTAATATCAGCTGGCCCATATATTAATGCAATAACAAAAAAGTTTATTAAAACCCCCAAATAAAATAAAAATATCATAAAATGGTTAATTGAGAAATTCAACGTAGTTTTTTATTCATTAGTATCATGATATCTTAATTTAAATCTTCGCAACAAATATAATTACCATTTCACAATCTGTATTTCTTAGAAATTCTTATATAAATATGGTTAATTTTTTACATTGCAAATCTATTAGATTTTTAATTAAATAAACTTAAATAAAACCGAACAACCTAAAGTTTTTAACCGTTTCAAGCATTGGAAATCAATTTGAGCGGTATTGTTTTTTTTTGCCGCGATCGGTCCATGACTTTCCGGAGACAAATTTGGTTCGTCTCGGCAGTTGGCGACACCGAGGCAGTACAGTTGCCAAGGTGATTTACGCGACGGATCGACACGACCGGCAAAACTAAGAGGTGCGCGCTCTGTGCTGACAAATCGACGAGTTAAAACTTGGACAGGCGGATAAATGCGGGACGTACGAACGGCGGCACAGGCGAATTAATTCGGCGCAGCCGCGAAATTTCCCGAGACGCTTTCGACGAAAACGACCAAATTGATGGCGCGATTTGCATATTTGCACCGGCCTGGCGAGTGAAAATAAAGCCTTTGACGCCTCTCCGGGGACGATCCAAAAGATTGGATTTATATTCTGCGGACCGGCCGCGGGTTATAATTTGCCGAGTTAATTCGATTCTGAGTGGCAAATTGATTTGGGCTGGACGTCGAGAGATAATTCGGTTTGTCCTGATTGCCGCAGAGTGCGGCTGCTTTTAATTCGTCGGAATAACATTGGCCGCAGGTGCGCGCAGTGAAAACATGAGTCGTTTCAAATTCCAACTGTTGGGTCGTCCGTGCCGTGGGTGATGATTAATTAAGTGCCAAAGTGCGGATGTTCAAATAAGAAAACATCAAATGACAATCGATTCTCCTCGCCGAGGCAAAGAGAAGTGAATTGATGTCACTCATGCGTTAAATAACTTGTCACTGAACACGAGGTTTTGACGAATTCTGCACGGCTGACAATCATATGATTGTGTGTGTTTGGCCCGAGTGATTTGTCCTTCGACTTGTTGGTCCGATCAATGTTATATAGTAACTCGAGGTTCTGTTCTTTGACGCTTATTTTGATATTTCAGAATTCCTAAAAATTATAATATTAATATATTTATTTTGTAAACAATGTAAAAATATGTAATAAAAACAATTTTAGATTATGTATGTGTTACACAGTTGCTTGAAGCTAAAAGTAGTAGAAATATAGAAATCAAGGTTGTATACATTAATTATGATATAATATATTATATCGTCATCCAGTATACAGGTATGCAACTGGAAAAATCACAGTGTCAAAGAAAAAAGCTTCAATTCATCTAATTTCCATTCAAAAAACTAGAACAATGATGTTGTGCAGCTCAATAAAAAATATTCAATTTTAATTTGCAGCTCAAAATCTATCAAGTTATCACTGTAAATTAAATTTGCAAACTATCTGAGATTCACAAAAAAATTATAAATTTAATATTTCAACAAATATGCTAAATAATTGAAAAAAAATACAAATAAAATATTTCAATAAAATAGTTAATATATTAAATAAAATAATGTTTAACTTCACTAAAATTTGAGTTCAATAAAACAATTTATTTTTAACCTACGTATCACTTCTTTGAAGAGTGTCAAAGCAATACTTTTGTTCTCGATGGTCAAAAATTGGAAAAAATCCAAACTTTGATACCTCCTTAAGCTAAAAATTTTGCCAAAACAAAGTAATATTTTTCTAGGTGTTTGGAAGATTTGGAAGTATCCTAAAAAAAAAACTCTAGAAAATTGTCTGGAATTCAATTAAATTCCAAGAAAAACTCATTTTTTGTATGCTAAAATGCTATTTAAAAAAGGTGTATCTGTTGCATAACAAGTTTTGGTTAGAATTTTATAGAATCGACAGCAGCGTTTTTTTTTTTTTTTTTTATCTAAATTTCCCTTTTGGATGGTATTTTACTTTTTCAAGCACCGAAGTAAAATGGCAAAATGTTCGTGGATATGGCAGCGGGTATCGAAATTCACCAGCGGTGCGCGAAGCGCCGGTTCCGTTCGCATTCGCTGGTTCGAGGGGTGAGGCGCAGAGCAGCGACGGCGTTTTTCGTCGGGGGCCAACTCACTTTCACCCTCGATTGGATCGGAACAAAGTGGGCGATCGCGCGCGCTTGCATCTCGCGAACATTGAGAGCTGGCGCGGCTAATAAATTATTAGCCCTCGGAGACTGGGCCAGGTAGGCAGGCAGGTAATTGAAATATTTACAGCGCGCACCGGCGGCAGCCCTGACTGCTGCGAGAATGACGTCGAGATGGATTGGGTGGGTATGCACTGACGTCACGTGACTATGTACAGCCTCCAGATCAATGGTATGGACCAGAGCAGCGCGAGAGAGCCGAGCGGGCTGCGTGTATTTGGATGTCGTGCGCCCCTAAATGCTGTTACGCCTGGCCCGTAATCGGCCACATTTTCCACCCCACGCCGCCAGACTGATTTCCAAATGGGAAAACTTAAATTGTCCGCTCAATGTTGCATGAGCAGCGACTTGCCGATTCCGCCGCTCGGCCCGAGGAATGCGCAAATTCGACGAAAAGTGGAAAAAAGAGCAACTTTTCCCTTTCTTTTGAGCCAGAAAACCGAGAGAGAAGGAATTTTTCGCCGATTAGTCTCGCTTTTGCGCACCATAATTAAAATTCCGTCAGTCTGCACAATGCGAATTTTGATAATTTTGATTTTTTTTTACTATTGACTGCCCCAGACACAATGAAAATCATATTTCCATTCACTCTATTATTTAACTTGTATTTTTCCTTTAAAACCCGTGTTGAATTTACTGAAAAATTAGCAAGTTTTTACTAAAATTAAATGAAATTAAAGTTAGACATTCTTAAAATCAGTTTAATTTGACGAATTTAGAGGTAAATACAAAGTTTTAAGTATTTCTTGTAAATAATGCTGGAGAATCGAGATGCCTGTGCGACCACTTGCTGCAAAATAAACAAAACGGTCAATGCGCCAAAATCGGGAGGCGCACCAAGGCTTGGTCGAAGAGCGCGAGTTTAAAGCGTCGGAACGCGCGATTTTTCCACTTTCCCGAAAAGTGCGGAGCGAATTTTCAGCCATGTTTGTCCTCTCCCGTCGGCTGAAAGGAGCGGAAAAGCGGATCCGCTCGGCGTCGCCGCAGCAAAAAGACTCACCCTGTCGAGCTGGTAGCCGTCCCTGAGGGCACTTTCGCGGGCTCCCATTTTTATCCCTGGTTTCGGCGAAGAAGAAGAAGTAAAACTCCAAAGGTTCGCCAAGTGGCTCACTGACTCACTGCTCGGAACACCTTTGTTGGTGTGTTTGCCGCCCGTCCGACCTCACTTGGCCTGCTTTGATCCGCGACTGCGCCGCAGCCCGTCCGCCTACCACTCGCGCGGGCCCTTCTGCTCCTCTAACTTGGCCCTCCGCCGCTAGGCTGCACGCCTCGACAGTGCACATGGGGCCCAGCCCTGCGCAGCCCGCCGCTGCTCATTCGCGACTCCGCGTGCTCGCCAAATATGTTTCAAATTTTGTGCTAGAAAAGTCCAGTAAAAAAAAATTTGCCAATGTAAACCGCATTTCTGAATCTTTTTTTAAAATATTGTTGTTTATTTATTCAACTTTTATTAAAAATATTTAAAGATCCACTCCGATCATTTGTTTTGCTTTTATTCTGAAAGATTGATAAATTTCGAGTATATCTTGTGAAAACAGTATTTGAAAATTCCAAACCGTTGCGTCTCAATCAAAAGAAAACGTAAATATGAGTGATTCGCGCGAAAAACGTGTGAGAATTGAGTAGCCAATCAGATCCATCAGTTTGTTCCAAAAACTACAGAATTTGGTCACATTGGCGCTGCGATCGCTGATTTTTCCACTAATGTCCCACGGCGCTGCAGAAAACTTGGCAAAATCAGCGATCGCAGCGCCAATGTGACCAAATTCTGTAGTTTTTGGAACAAACTGATGGATCTGATTGGCAACTCAATTCTCACACGTTTTTCGCGCGAATCACTCGTATTTAGGTTTTCTTTTGATTGAGACGCAACGGTTTGGAATTTTCAAATAGTGTTTTCACAAGATAAACTCGAAATTTAGCAATCTTTCAGAATAGAGAGCAATACACTTGACCGGAGAGGATCTTTAATTTTTCTTTTATTGATGCAAATTATAATTAAAATTAACAAAATCTAAACCAACTTTTTTATTTTACCGCATATTTTACCAAATATTCGGATGTAAACGAAAAAAAAATTGCGAATACTTTACTATTTAACGCAAGAAAAACTTAAAAAACGCACCGATACACAATTAAAACACATTTTGAGGGAGCACAAATCACAAGATCACTATAACATAACAATAAAAGTGTAAGGAAGTCGACAACCAGCTGCAGAAAAAACGCCCTTAACAGCCATAATGATAAGAAAAACCGCCGAAATAAACCGGTGAAACCGGCCAGTTTATATGCAACCTAAAAATCATAGTCTGGAATATACTTGATATATACCTTATTTTATACTAAAATTATTAATTAAATTTTTTAATTCAAATTATTTATTTAATTTTTTATTAAATTGAATTTTAAAATATTAACGAAATTAAATTTAAATTAACCCATTTATTGATTTAATTTGATAATTAACCAAACTTGGAAATGTTTAGCAAATATTTATATCTCCAACGCATAGGAAATTCATGCTGTTGTGAAAGAAAACTTTTGTCGTAGTCCTTTAAGTTGATATGATTTCAGTATATTTCTTAATTTATGAGATGAAATCCAGATAAAAATTCAAAATAATACCATAATTAGATAAGTTGCAGTGAATTCTTACAAAATGTAATAAAAATAGATAAGTTCGAATTAAAAACGGGGAGATTTAGGAGAAAAGTTAATTCAAGAGTGGCAAAGTCAGTTTTGTATGGAAACATTGGCCAAGGGCAGTATCTGGCCAATTAAATTTTTGGCTGCGAAAGTGGCCGCGGCGAGAGGAAGCGAGGCGGATTGGGCCCGGCCCCGCCCTCGGTGTAGGTACCACAATGTGTGCCAGCATCACAGAGTGTAAGAAAGGCACCCTCGGAGAGCAGCGCGCGCGATCAATAACAACAGCCGAGCAGTTTGGTCTCATCTCTCTCGTGGCTGCAGGCTACTCCATTCGTAAACACGTAACGACATCGGAACGGCGATATTTAATGAGAACCAGAGAGAAAGACACAAAACAATAATTCCCCTCACACATCATCTTTACTTAAATAAAAACGGAAATTTTAAATTTTAAACTGGCGCTTTCACGAGTTGAAACAATACAAAAGTTAACTGCAGCTCAAAAATTAAGCGTAAAAATTAATTAATTGTTCTTTTCGAGGCATTAAACGATTATCCGTCTTTATTTTAAATATGAAAATTTGAGAAAATTGTTTTCTTCTTAGGAAATCATTTATTTCAACTTGACCTACATTTAAGTTATTAATTTAATATCTCCCAATATGGTTGGTATTATTGGCAATAAAATATCACACCGTGTTTAGAAAAACTTCCAGCAAGCCTGATTGGCTCAGCTAAGAAATAAGTATTTGATTCCGATCAGTTTGGGATTCTTGTCAGTTCCGTCAAATTGCGAAGCTCGTTGCGGTGCAAAGTGCATTAAAAATAAAATGATGCATTTATTCGTTTGCAGATGGAATATGGAGCGGTGAGTCCGCTGAGCGCGATCCAATGATGAAAGAAAAAGAATCGATCTGTGAATGCTGCATGTGCATGACCAAACAATGGCGTTTGGTCCAAGCAACGAGCGATGATGCTCTCTCGACGTGAAATACAAGGGTGCGCCGACAAAAGCTGACTGAGAAGGCGAAAAAATCAAGAGCCGTGACCTTTTGACATCGTTTCGAGAAGATTTGTACTCGAGTATAAAAGTATAAATGATGCTTTATTTACACATGCAGGGCTGCTTTCCTGTCACGTAAAGAATGCATCTTCGAAAAGAGAACAGGAAATCGGCACATCTCTCATTATTTTCATAAATAATCCATACATGCACCTAATTATTTAAAAAATTCATCTTGTAAGTGTGCAAAACCTTCATAAGTCGAAATCCACTTAAGATTTGCCAAATATTGTATGGGATTGAGATAAATCAGCAAATGGCCCATAAAATTGCTTTGAAGTTAAAAATTTGAAATATTTAATAAGAGCTAATTGATAATTCAAATGTAATCTTAACTTTAAAAGACCAATGCAATTAATTAAATTAGATCACATAAGATTAAAATTTTCTTATACTGAGACCAAAGAACTAATGCAATTATGCAATATGTATAATTTTTTTATTAATTTATAAATAAAGTTTTTCCCATCTTACATATATTTCTAATGCTATTGTGATAAAAAATATCGTTTTCAACTTTTGTGATACTCAAACAACTGATAACTGATAGTTAGAATTCGCATTTAAATAAAAACTAATTCACAAATTATGTTTTTAGTAATTATTATTTTTTGTGGAACAATATGTATCAGAACACGTACGTAATTATTGATTTTTATGTTTTAAATTCATTTGCAGATATCAAAATTATAGCTAAACATGATTTATTTAAATATATTAATTGTATTAAATTTGTGTACCAAAAACAAAATAAATCTAATTAAATTATCTTTTTTTTAAATTTACGTATTATTTTTAAACCTATTAATACAAAAAAATTACAATAAATTTCTTTTTAAAAATAAAAGAAAATATAAGTTTCTAATAAATTAGATAAATATAAAAAAAAAATGTAAAAGTTTTAGTTATAAAAATTTTGCGACAAACAATTTCTTTTATTCTAACTGAAACGAGCGCAGCCCTCTTTTAATCCGTTGGAAAAAGAAAAAAATTGCCCACAACTATCTGGAAAGAAGAGGGATTCGGGCAGGATTCGGAGCTGCCGAATGATGGGTTAGTCAGCCTGCCTCACGCGCGAGCGTGGCGGGTCTGCCTGAATGTGATTTACGCAGGCGAACTCACACGCTGAAGCTTCATCAATAACGCCGGCGATATGCAATCGCGCTAATGTCCTTAATGGCACTTTTCCTGTGCGCGCATTCGCCGAGCGCTAATTGACTTTGGCGAAACAATTCGCAATTTAATTCGGCCCAGCTGCGTGCACTCCTGGCTGACTGATTGTGGATGGAAAAGTTTGGTAAACATTCGTCCTTTTCCGCCGCGCTGAAAACAGGGGACTTGTGTAGCCGCCGCGGCTCCGCATGCACGGAGGGCGCCGCGGAATTTGCATGCGAACGAACAAACGAAAGGGGGACATTGGAACAAGTGTTGCGGCGAATCAACTGGTACTTTCCCTCGCAACCACAAAATGAGCAAACCCGACCTACTTTTTTGCTCACTGTCGGTTCTGTTTTCTGCGGATTGCTTTTGTGTTTGGTAAGAAAAATGCATTTTTCTTGTATTGACTTACAATTAGACTTATAAAAATTGAATATTAAGGAAATGAGTTGATTTATAAAATCTTAATAATTAAAATAAATGTGGAAAATTTGGAGAGAAACATCGAGTTAAATGTTTAAGGGGAAATAAATAGAACCATTATTTCTTTCTTGAGCATTAAAACTTATAAAAATATCTTCTGTTAATTAATTTGAAATTCATCTGACTAGACATTGAATTGTATTCCACATTCTGTTTTCAGATAATTCTTGGTCCACGTTGAAAATAAAGAAATAACTAAATATTTTTGGTGATTTGAATTTAAAAACGACTTTTACTTGATGGGTTTTTTTGAGTTGTTTATTGTTTCAGAAAAACAATATCCTGCTGCGGGCTGCAGCCATAATTCATGAGCTGCGAAAACATTTTGACAAAAATTAGGGGGGAAATAAATCTTTTTTCAAAAATTATTTTTCTTTCAAATTGACAATGTTACATTCTGCCACAAAACTAAATATTTCACGCACCCATAGAAAAACTTCACCAATCCAGTTCTAATTTTTGATAATCAACGTCTCCGCATATTGAGCAAAATACTATTTTTTGTTTTCGTCTCATCATCTGGGTCACATTCGCATACCGCTTCATTCATTAGCATGCAGCAAGGTGATGGCGTGAGCTCATGATGGCACGGCTGTTCCACAACTCATCTGCATAAATGCATAAAATTATGCGTGGGCGATTTATGTTTGCGACCCGAGCGTTGACTCGTCAAGTTTGATGGGCGGTGAGTGAGTGTGAAAGTGAGCCAAAGTCATTTAGTTTGAAAAGGTCATGAAGGCAATGAACAAGACTAGTAAGAATTTTTTTATAGCTATTCATTAATAAGTGATTTATCATGAATTACACGTTACAGATAATAAGTAA